AAAACTTTTATGGCTTCCACCTAATTCAGCCCATATAGACATACAATCTTTACCACCTCTAACATCCCTATGATTGATACCCACCTCCCCTCCTTTTGATCCCCTTCCCAATGTATAGGTTCAATTCTTGAGTTGGGAGGAAGCCAAATGGTCAACCTTGCGCTTCCTGGTCGTATAGCATGCGCCCGGAAGGCCTGGAAGGGCCAGATCTCCTTATGTGCATGATGGTGTGCTGCCGTGTCCATAAGGTGGGTTTCCTGAATGCAAATTGCATCTGGCCAATCTCTCCCCTCTACCCCTCTTAATTGCTCCCATATTGCCTGTTTTTTTCTGGGGGGGAGCGGAGGCTAAACCATTCACATTCAGGGAACGTAGGTCCAAGTCGGCCTCTCTTTTACCTTTCACCCACTGCTTGTTCTTCCCGTATAAAACCCTTGTTAAGTCCATTTTTACGCTTTTTCCATGTCACACTCATCCCCCTCATAGTGCTTTCCATTCCACCAAATCCCAACCGTCTTCCCTGGATCCCGCCATTTATAGATACCCCTCCTTCAGGATCCTTAGCAGCGATGTCTTGACATCTTCCTCTGTCCAGCTGCTACTGCTTTTGATTTTCAAGATTTGAAGGTCCAACAACGCTTTCTGTGAGAACCATCTCAGGCCCGCTTCCTTGTCTGGCTCAAACCATACGAACAGGTACGTGTCTGCGAGCGGGTGATGGCCATGGGTGACCTTCCTTATCGCCATCGCCCCAAGTTGAAATGTTTTCCGCAGAAATTCCTGCATTTAAGATCCGAAGACTTCTTCCTCCGTCGACATCCATAATGGGACACTGGGATTCCATCCCTGCGGGGTAATGTCGCCATATTGTGGATTGGGCGAATCCGCCAGACCCACTTCCCACCACCCCTCCTTCTTCCGCACCGGGACAACCATGACCCCTGTTCTAGTTAGGGACTGAGACCAGTGCCCCTTTTCAAGGACATGTCTCAACTTTTGCCTCTTCCCTATTAGCCCTTCGTCCGGGGGTTTTGGGAGGGCGGGCTGAGAGCGGGGGGGTGGAGAGGAGGGACCTCCTTCTTCTCCTTTACCACTAAGCATGCCTCCCACCATTTCCTTTCCTGGCTTGATCTGACGGGTGTGTAGTGTTTCCTTTACCTTGGCCTCTCCTTCACCCTGTAACTCTTGTCCCTTCCCATCCTCCTCCCTTTGACCTTCTTTGCTAACCTTCAACCAGTTGATTCCTTTCCTCCCTCACCCGGGCCACTCAGGCCACCCCCCTTCATGTCCTTCTTGACAACAATCTCTGCTTCCATTCCACAACTCCCAAACGCCCCTTCTCCGTCCGTGTCAGCCTCCTGGTCCATAGGACTCCGGCCCTTTTCAGGGGGCTGGAATCTGGTGAGCACTATACCCAACAGCCTTTTACAGACATCATCCCAGCCTAGTCCTTGTGGCAGCCCATGATCGAGGACAACCCTAAGGCTACTACTAGCCTCTAGGAGAGGAATGAGGCCCCTGTATGTGTCATCCCATAACTCCTCAGAAAGGTCCGGGAATTTAAGGTGCAGATTGTGCATTAACCATTCTGACACGCTTTTTAGTCTTTCCTCTGCCATTTCAGGCATACCCTGTGTCCCCCCTTGTCCTCCCCGTATCTCCTCCGCCTCCTGCATTACCTCATCCGCTGGAGACGGAGGGGGAGGGGGGGCTCCCTAGATCTCCTCCACCTCCATAGGGGTTGGCCCAAAGGCGTCTCGAAAAATATCATGTTGGTCAATTCCCTGACTTTCTTCATGGTTCCCTTTCTCATCCCCCGACTTTCTTTCTTCCCCTATTCCCCTCACCGGCTGATTGTCAACCAAACCCCTTCCTTGTGTAGATTCCTCTCTCTTTGCTAGGTCAAGGTTCCCATTGATCCCCTCGTTGTCAGTTACGTCCGTTTTTTCTTAAGCAAAAACAAGGTATCGTCCCGCGTCTGGCCCCAAAGTGCGGGAGTCGCCCGTTTCTTTCCTTTTCTGCTGTAGTTGTTGTTCTTGTTGTGCTTTAATTTCTTTTTTTTGCTCCTGGGAGACAGGGAAACCCTTATCCTTCGGAACTTGTGGTGGGTACCATGTGTTGGGGGGATGGGTGTCCCATCTTGGCTTGCCTCGTCCTTCCCATTCCCACCCTCTCACTACGCCATTCCTATCTTTTTCCTCTACATACACCCAGCCTTCGTAGTCGGAGTTCACTGTCGTCCACTTGGCCGCAGAAAGCAGGTCCTGCTGAAGTCTGCCTGTAACTCGCTTGCATTTGAAAGGGTGATGGAGGCATGTTGTCTCTGTACCCAGGTGGTCGTACGCTCGACACCTGAAACACCAAGGACGCAGCTTGTGCGCCGTATGTACCTGATATATTATTCCCCACACTCTAAATGGAATAATATCATCAATGGTAAAAAGCTGATCCTGTGGCAACTCTATGGCAAGCATGACATGGTCATCTCTTTTTGCCACGTACGGGGGGAGTGGTTCAATGAAATCTACAATGTTATATCGTTGGCCAAATTCGTAAATGAAGATTGCATGAATTTCAACTGGAATGTGCCTCAGTTCGACCCAATAATAGTCTCGCATCATCTGCTCCCGCCTCTCCTCTGCCCCCAATTTTTTGGGGAGCCAGGGGTAAATGCGCACCTTTGATCTACCACATCTCAACCTCTTCTAGCTGTCCATGCGGACTTTATCTTGCTCAAACATTGATAACACCATATATACAGTGGAAGAGATGGGTTGTATTAGGAAGAACTCATGGACAGCCTCTGGACTCCTTTTCATCTCCTCTAACTGTTTACAAATGCACTCGATTGTAACTTGTTATTATTAATAATTTCTTTGCTCTAAAAATAAGTTTTTTTTCTTTTTTTTTCTTTTTTTCTTTTGATAACCAAATTCGTTTGGCCTGCAGGGACTTTTGCTCAATTGATTCAAAAACACGAGGCAACCACCAGGTTGCAGTTACCCTCAAGCGCATTAGCGTCTATAAATTCTCAATGTCGAGCTACCCAGGGTGTTGTAGAGGCCAAGGACCAGACCCGCGGTGATTGCTGGTAGCAGCAGCCAATGGTGGTCCTGACACGATAGGCCACCTACCCTACCCATCCCCACGTTAATACTCCCAACGCACCCCCTATCCCTACTATCCTACCTCAGTGTGACCAACACTCAGGACCATCACCCTACCAGTATCGATGGCAACTTGGACCAGACAGCAGTGACAAGCGCCAAGGCTGGGCCAACCTCCCAGCCCTAATGGAAGCGGAAGCGGATGAACCTTGCCATACAGGAACTTTGGACGCCAGGCTCATACAATCTTCTACAGGCTCAATTCAGAGAGTCTACTCAGCAGGATTACCTAAGCAAGGTAGGGCAGCGCCCGCGGACACATTCTACCGTCCTTCCCCTAGCTTACCCAAAGCTAGGCGGAACTATGACTAGTCGGAGCGACTTATATACGTACCCTACCCTAGAGCTAAGCCATGCGTGAGTAGACGCCGTCATATACCTGATAGACCCCCCCAGCCGAGTATCGTAGTTGTGTGTATGTGTGTGTGGCCAGAGGCGATGTGTGTTTGTATGAGCCCATAGGGCCATGTTTTTTGTATCTGCCCGAAGGCTATGTGTGCTCTGTGTAACTGTATAGCGAGATGTGTGTGCCCGAAGGCCAGGTATGTGCAGTACTATGTCGAGGGAACTACGTGTTCATTTGAAGAGATGACAGGCCAAGCTGGACAAGAACCCCCCCCCAAGTCCCAAGCCAGACTCGAACCCGTGATCTATGACATGTGACTTGAAGACTCTACCATTTGAGCAACAATCGCAAACGGCCCCTGTGTATGATATGCTCTGGACTGGGGAGATCAACAGGACAACCACGAGCACCAGCCACAAGCAACCCATGCAGTGTCAAGACCCCACATACAACACCATGGACAACCCTTGGGTGGTGCGCAGGCAGTGTCTGTATAAGCTTACCGTGCGTCATCCCAAGGGTGTGTGTGTCCAGTCGTGCGTCATTCTAACGACCTGCCGGTGTCCATGTGCAAGGCTGCAATTGAGTTTTGAACCCGCAATCTCAAACTACAATGCGCATTTCCAACGGCTACTCTAACCACTGAGCTACATCAACTGGGCTAATTTTTTTTTATTTTTTTTTTGGAGAACACTAGAAGCATTTTTCATTCTCGATTTCTCTCGATCTTCCTTCTCTTCTAGATGGGTGGAGCAGGGCCTCCATATCGGTTGACGTATCAGGCTGATCTGTCGGTTTGTTTTTTGCAACGGAGACGTGAACTTGGCTTTGGTCTCATCCACATTCTTTAAGCCTCTAGTTCCCTCCCCTGATATGTTGCTTGACTTATCACCCCACGTCTGGTCGACGTCTCTTACTTATGTTTGTACTTAAGCAGTCTCTTCCATCTATCCAGTCCATTTTCCCTGCGGCTTATTCAAGACCCCTAACGAGTTCTGGTTGGCGGCCGGACGAAACGCAGCGTCGGGTCGCTGCGCCAGTTTTACTGTTTGTCGTTCGATGTTTTGGCGACTTTTTCATGATTAAATTCACGTACGGCCACAGGTCGCGTTTCGGGATTTGGATTGTCTTCTCTCTCTCTCTCTCTCTCTCTCTCTCTCTCTCTCTCTCTCTCTCTCTCTCTCTCTCTC